GCAGGGGAGGGACTGGGGGCACAGGGGAGGGTCTGGGGTGCAGGGGAGGGACTGGGGGTGCAGGGGAGGGACTGGGGGAACAGGGGAAGGAGCAGAGACTGGGAAATTCTGATTTGGGCAGGGAGTGACTTCCAGGGCACAAGGGAAGGTTTGGGGACAAGGGAAAGTTTGGGGGACAAGGGAAAGTTTGGGGGACAAGGGAAGGTTCGCGGGACAAGGGAAGGTTTGGGGGGCAAGGGAAGGTTTGGGGGACAAGGGAAGGTTTTGGACAAGGGAAGGTTTGGGGGGACAAGGGAAGGTTTGGGGGGACAAGGGAAGGTTTTGGACAAGGGAAGGTTTGGAGGACAAGGGAAGGTTTGGGGGGACAAGGGAAGGTTTGGAGGACAAGGGAAGGTTTGGAGGACAAGGGAAGGTTTGGGGGACAAGGGAAGGTTTTGGACAAGGGAAGGTTCGGGGGCTCCTGGGGCCAGGCAGGGAGGAAGCAGAGGGTGGCACGCCCCGATGTGGGCAGGGGTGACGGTTCCGGAGGGCAGGGGTGACTCGTGCCACCCCTGTGCCCAGACCCGTGCCAGGGCGTGCCGAGCGAGCCGGGCCGCGTGTGCCGGGTGGACCCCCGGACGCGGCGCGCGGAGCTGCTGCCCCGGCCCGAGGATTGTCCCCCGGGCAGCGGCCCCGTCTGCGGCGACGACGGCGTCACCTACGAGAGCGAGTGCGCCATGGGCCGCGCCGGCGCCATCCGCGGCATCGACATCCAGAAGGTGCGCTCGGGGCAGTGCCAGCAGCAGGGTGAGTGCCGGGCCCCTCCACCAGCTCCTCCTCCTCCACCATCTCCATCATCTCCTCCATCTCCTCCACCATCTCCATCATCTCCATCATCTCCTCCATCTCCTCCACCATCTCCTGCTCCTCCACCATCTCCTCCTCCTCCATCATCTCCTCCATCATCTCCTCCATCTCCTCCGTCATCTCCTCCATCTCCTCCGTCATCTCCTCCATCTCCTCCGTCATCTCCTCCTCCTCCATCATCTCCTCCATCTCCTCCATCTCCTCCTCCTCCTCCATCATCTCCTCCATCTCCTCCATCTCCTCCTTCTCCTTCATCATCTCCTCCTCCTCCATCATCTCCTCCTCCTCCATCATCTCCTCCTCCTCCATC